CAGCAGCAACAAACCAAGGGCCTCCTTTATCCTTTAAGTATTTTAATGTGTGTATTGTATGATTTGCTAGCTGCCAGTCATAATGGTAGCTGTCTGGATATTCCTTTTCATCTAATGGACACCAGGTATCAATATCAGCAACATAAGCCCCAAGTTTGTGTGCCGTTGTAGTATTGGGACACTTCGCAAGAGAAAATGGAAAATATGGTTGATCTTGTGACCAGGATTTTGGTTCATCCCAGTTAGGAGGACTATTGGGATGGAATGTCTTTCCTCCTCCTAGTGTAGTGTACCCATTCTTCTTAAAGTGCTCTGGAAGTGATATCCAGTCTGGGCCTGTAACTCTGAAGTTAGCATTTCCAAATCCTATCCAAACATGAGTTGTATCTGGTCTCCTTCCAGTCATGAAACTGTTCCTCGAGGGAATACACACAGCATGCTGACAGTAAGCTCTTTGGAAGACAAAACTCTCTTTGGCCAACCTGTCCAAGTTTGGAGTGTGAATGTACTTCTGATCATATGCTTCCAGCATCTCAGGTCTCAAATCATCAACTGGCATAAAAAGAACATTTTTTCCTTCCCCTATTGTGATAAACAGAGCTAGCAAGAGGAAAGCAAAAATATAATTGTAAGCAACCATAGCTAATCTGTGAGACTATCCAGAGCAGCTCCACCCTTATGTAGGTTTATTCATAGACTAGATTTATAGATCTTTATCACCATAGTTTATTACTAATCAAATTCATCTACATGTATATACATAGCACAGAGCAGTTAAAGCAACAGCGATCTAACTTATTTTTCAAACATTTTCTTCAGCTGTTCTTGAAGCTTTTGTACTATATCTGGATTTTCATCTGCTACATTTTCAATCTCGCACTGATTGAAATCGTTTCCAGTTCCGTCAGTGCTATCACTGTTGTGGTGATCATACAACTCTACAGCATAAGGCTTGCTTTCCCATTTTGCTTTACCATCCTCCCACTTCATCCAAGCAGTGTAGCGCCAATTGAGAACACGCACAGAGTAACCCATATACTGTACTTCAGCATTCTTACTGCATGTGTTATTATCCCATTGGTTAGCAGCATCAATACTTTTGAGGCAACGAGTGTACTGTGAATATGCTGCTGGTGTTTTGTTTAAAGCAAGTGCTGCTTCGAGAGCATTCAGATCAGGTGAGTCAAACAAACTAGCAAAACTAACTCCCTCAATATCATCTCCAGGTGATGGAGCACCCACCAGTTCTGATATTGTTCTATACAGATCAACTAGCTCAACAAATGCATGACTCCTCTTACCAGCACTAGCTGGTTTCCATGGTGCTCTTATGATTAATGGCACTCGAACAGCAAGCTCCCAGTTAGTCATTTTGTGCCAGGAATCGTGCTCTCCCAACTGATATCCATGATCACCAAAGAGTACCACTAATGTATCATCTGCTAATGACATGTCATCAAGAGCTTGTAATACACGACCAATCTGTGAGTCAACCCATGAAACTGATGCAAAATATCCATGGCGTACTTTTTGCTGTATCTCAACCGGAATTGGATTTGGCATTGGTAGATACTCTGTGTCATT